CTGTAACCACTTAAACTATTATTGGATAAAAAGAGTAAATATGAAATGTTTAATAATGAGATAAAAAAATGTTTTGAATGTTTGGTTCAATATTAAAGCTACAAACATTTACGGTGCCACCGGGGGATGGGACAGGATATTTAAGTCCACAGGTCAAGCCCTCCCCAGATCCTGTCACCCACGACTTGTCAAAATAAAAACGGGGTGTATTTTTCTTCTTATTTGACTTGGGCATAATACGTCGTAGAAAGTAAAATATTGCCCAGGTTTTCTAGGCACTAAAACTGCAAGACTGTGACTACAAGACTGTCGTTGTGGACAGACGAAGTGCGCCTCTTTGCAGCCGATCGGACATGATGTAACCGTTTGATAAAAGTTGTAGAATGAGTTGGTCTACGCCTCTACGCTTTTCAGCCTAAAGCTGCAATTCGCAGGTTATTTCCTACATTTATATTTACATTTACGAGATTTTACTGAGAGCTTACATTGTTTAATTAAGGCGTTAATTAGTGTTAATATCACATACTGTTATTGTCCATACAAACTAATCGTAATTAAAACATAACTATGGAAATGGTAATCAAAATGAATGCTTTCAACCACATAAGTATTTTCAAAGTAATACGTTTTAGAAATAACTGATAGTCTGTATATATTCATCTAGATACATAATTAATTATATCAACGTTTTATAGTGAAATATTTCAAACGAAAAAAAATATGCAATTACAGTACAGTAAAAGAATAATCGTAATGTTGATTAAACTAATATGAACAATACTAATAGATGAAAATTTGTTGGTTAATGATGCATTAGAATGACTGCATGTGCTGTATAAGCTGGAAAATACCTTTAAGAAGTTAAATTAAACTGTCAAATTTAAAAAAAAGAATAAATTTATCAACTTCCATTTCCTATATTTTGAATAATTACTGTACAAGTAAGAGTGAATCAATATAGAAATTATATGAATGAATCAATATAGAAATTATACATTTTAATTCAATTTAAGTAATTTAAAATTTGTTAGAATATCTGGAGTTGTATCTCCCTTGTTACATTGTTCACAGTTTTGATTTCCAGCCGTCATGTCATTCTGTTTCTCAGCATGTTCCTCTAACTCATGGTCACTCTGTTTCACATCTTGGTCTGCAACCATCTGGCCATCATGTACATCTTGGTTTTCAACCGCCTGGTCATCATGTACATCTTGGTTTGCAGCCACCTGGTCATCATGTACGTGGTCTGAAACCGCATGGCCACCATGTACATCTTGATCTGCAACTGCATGTACATGGCCTGCAACCGCATTACCATCATGTACATCTTGATATGCAGCCACTTGGTCAACTGCATGCAGATTCTGGTCTTCATTTCGGCGCACAGCAATATGATTATTCTGATCTCCAGCACCACCGTCTACAACCTCATGGTGGTTAAAATATCCTAATGTGAGTAAAAAATGAGTTACTGTTGTAGTTAAATAAGTAGTAGAAGTAGTCTGAATTCCAGGCCCAAATTTTGTGTTACGAACTCTTTATTGCGCTTAGTACGCGACATACCTAATATATTTGGTGTCCTAAACGCGATTTCTGTCTCAAAATTAACTTGCTTGTTGGTGGCGCTGTCCGGAATGAGAAAAAATAAGGGAATAAGATAAGAAGTTTTTGTAGTTGGCCTGGCAGTAAGGGTAAGAGCAGTACTAGCATTTGTAGTAGGCATAGTAACAGTGGCTATATAGTACAGGGGTAGGCCTATAAATTATTATTATTATTATTATTATTATTGTTTTTTTATTATCATTATTATTATCATAATTATTATAATTATCAATATAATGATTTTATTTTTGTTTTTCATACATTGTTTTAATTTAGACATTTTTAAAATGATTTTGAATTTTTCTTTTATAATTTTACCACCACTTCTCATAACAGTAATGAGGGAAAGAACTGCTCTGTCTCACAGAAATAGTAAGTCTATTTTATATAATACTTGAAAATACCCGTAGCATGATGGTGTTGCGTCGCTATCCCACTACTACTTCTACTAATTCACTTGACTGAAAAATAATAATTTCCATACAAAGCTATATCAAAACTAAGCCATGGTGGAAGTTAACTCAAGGCCATCACTACGGGACAGGCCTCTGACAGTATTGATGAAGCAGGATAAATTGCAAGCTACAGTAGGGCGGCTTACCCCAGTGCTTCCAAACATGGACTCCGCAAAAAATAATTAGTGCTATTTTGTTCTTTTATCCCAGTTTGCACTACTTTTACGCAGGCTTTTTCTGGTCGGCACTTTGGTCACTTTTAACGCTTGGATTTTTTCAAACATTGTCCAAGCTAGACATACATCAAACATGTACATATTTAAATGTGACGTCATTATACATACCCTGTATGACTATCATCAGGTTTTTCTTATAGCGTTATTGTAGAACTCTCACTTACCAGTGCAACCATAGTTCGAATCTCACTGACGACTAATTGATTTTCATATTTAGATGATTTCATGTGTGTTTTTCATGTGCTTTTTACAGATTTTTTTTAAAATTTAACATCACTCCTCGTAATGAGAAAACGCCCTATGCTCTGTTTTAAAAACAGAGCATAGTGAGTTATTAATATTGCGGATTTCTAGGCCGACTTTTTATTGCGCGGAGGATATATTCTCCTATTTATATATTATTATATTCCCTTAACTTACAATCTGAAATTGCTATTGTTATTGTCTTACTTAATATTGTTTAAATATAAACAAATGATATCAACGCTTCAGTGCTGTCATGCTATTGTTTTGGCATCATTAATGAATCAATCGACTGATTGAATAACTAGAGGCCGGGTGAACGGTAATGGGTACCGGTAAATACCTTATTTAGGTACGAGCTATCTTGGAGGACACAAATGAATTTCGGGGTGTGTGTCTGAGGAATCAGGACATATTGTCATTATAATTAAGCCAGACATAATCGAGGATCGAAACGTAAGTTTATTGAGAAAACATGAAGGCTAGGTGTGTCAGTGGTCTTACAATCACAATGGTACCATGATGTCAGAGTAAATTAACATTGTCTCGGACTGCGAGGTAATCTCTGGAGTTTATTCGATTTTGTAAATTATGTTTATTTAAAAAATATCTACATTTACATTTAATGTATCTATAGACATGAGGCAGTCGGAAAAAGAATGATTGTTTTGATTTTACTATAATGTAATACAGGTCCAGCAAAGCAAAGTTATTCCACTAGGGTCTACAATTTTATCCGTCACACAGCGATTAGAACAAGATGCCTTTACAAGCAAGTTAGCTGAAGGATCCTGCTCTTTTCCAGGTTCGTCCCCTATTCCAAATCCAAAGGTTATTTTAAATGTAAGTACTTAACCAAATTTACCTGGCATAATTTCGTTTATAACATCAGTTCTACCAATATCCAATAGGATTTGTATGAGTAGTCCAACTGTTGGTTCACTGGTCCCCCAATCTCTAAGTACTGCTTCTGTTGGACTGTTTTGTCGTCTGAATTCCAAGGCAAAATTTCTGGAAAATATAATGGTAATTGAGAACAATTGCGGTAAATAAAGGCTGTAGAAGACACCAGGAGATGCGATGGTTTACAGATTGACAGGTTTTTGGAATCATTTCGTGATTATTAAATTCTATTGCGTAAGAACTCTTGCCACAAGTGAAGTAAGCATTGGGCAAAAAAATCATCGTTTAAGGTCTATAACGGAAAACCATTCTGAATTCACTTCTTGTGACTAATATATATTGGTTTTTCACAAGCATCTATTTCCGAGTCGGTTTATGATAAGTTTTAAGGCATCCAGAAGGAGAAATCAAAAAAGAAATGTAAAATATGATTACCATCGTTATGATTGGCTATGTACTTACTCTATATCGTTAGTCGTGTAATATCTATTGGTTCGTGGATTTACAAGCGATCCTGCCAGTGCCTTCCAGCCTGTGAGTGATTCTGGATCCAGCATCTTGGACATTTTCTGACGTGCATTGAATGGCATTCTTCTTACCAGCATGTCTAACGTCAATGCTTGTCGGGGTGCCATCGTAAGAACTGAATGAAAAAGGTGATATCAAAAAAAGATCTTAAAAGTTATCCTCCTGTTGACAATATAACGGTCGCTTGAGTTCGCTCTCCAGTTGGTTTTTTTTTTTTTTTTTTTTTTTTTTTTTTACAGAATATACAATCATGTACACACATGAAATTTAAAGTGATTGGGATTGCTAAAGGACATGCATAAATTTTGCGTATACCACTTTTTACGTTTTGAAACATTTATTCACAATTTACATGATTTAAATGGGCATCAAAAGTAGAGGATGCCTGTTAGCTTGAATACTATGACATTCAAAATACCGTATGCAAACATGAGATATATGAATAGACAGCGAAGATTGGAAATTTAAAATATAAATATGATAAATGTTTAAAGCAATGTAAGTTGTTATTTTTTCCGTTCTTAAATCATTATTTTTTACTGTTTTTTAGAATTTTAAACCCTTTTATTTTGGAATTTTAAACTCTTATTTTACATTTTATACAGTTACAGTTAGTTTTATTACAGTTTGAATGTTTTTTAAGTGGTATTTTTGTTTTTTATGTATAATTGCATATGTTGATATTGACCAAATAAATGAAAGAAAGCAATTTTTTCTTAATATGTATCTCATATCATCTCATTTAATTTTTTTTAGGCTGAATTTAGCGAATAGTAAAAAAATACTATCAAAGCGCATTCCAGATATTTGGTCCGTGAAAAATAGACCTGTAACTCGATGTCAGTCTTGAAAACGGTATTTTGACACGTGTGAGCCCGTTTTACAGTAAGTGAATGGTTCTACACTATTTCTATTCTGAATGGCCAGTCAACCTTGCAACTCACACAGAACATTGAAAAGGTTTACTTATACAAATGTAAAGGTGATGATCGACTGACAGCGTGAGTTGAATGACTCACCCACGCTGTCAAGAAATTATTGCGAAGGGCGCCCCCGCAATCACGTAATATTTTGTTGGAATTTCCTAGGGGTTTTACAAGTTTATGTTTTGTATTATAATCACAGATTTCGCAACAGGTATAATTGCCTGAGGTGATATTCTGATATAAAACATATTGCGTGTACCTTATTCATACCAAAAATTGTTTAAATAAGGGACGTGATCTCGAGCTTAATTTGTTAGTCTAACTGCAAATTGTATTAATGATAATTTACAAATAAACAGTGATAAGGGTGAACAATGAATGAGCAAGTGGTGGACCCTTATCACTGTTTATTTGTAAATTATCATTAATCCTTTATAGACATATGCCGACTTGCTTTGACTTAATTACTGTATTGTTTCTCAAATTGTATATTGCTAAGATAGTTTCTCAATATGTTCATTTTATGTCAAGCGTTGACAAAGACTACAGGAGTAGCCGAAATATTCGCCTAATAAATTTTAGTGTTTCTAAAGTCAACATCTTACGTATTTGAGTTTCTTTACTGTTACGTTATATTATATTCTACATATGTTTCGAAACACACGTGGACACGCCTTCTTCAGTCTCTTATACACATCT